GATGCCGTGGAATAAACAAAGTAGTGAAAATAATATCAAGCGGCTTTAGTATCTTCTTCTTATAGTGTCGATATTTCTTTTATTATATGACTATATATTAACTTTGAATAGGACGTTGGTCCAGATGAACAGGGTATTATCTCAGAAACACAGATTTTTGAGGAGAGCAACTTTAGTTTCTTCTAGCATTATTTCAGCCCCTATTGTTATTTGGTTGTCCTCACCTATATATATTTAAAGCTAACACATTTAACAGTATTTTCGAATTCCTACTTCTTATATACAGTTCCATAGTTTTACCAAAATCCTGAAACTGTTCAGAAAAGTCTATAACATTATCCTTTTGAACACAAAATATTTGTGATTCAGAGTTTTAGGTAAACTACTTATGCCTAATACTTTTCAATGAAAGAAGGAATCATATATTCGATAAAACTTTAAGGAAAATAGTAGTATCTCAAAAAATTACTCTATACTACTGATTACCATAACAAATCAATGAAAAAAATTCCAAAAAATATCTTACCTTGAAATATCGCCTTCGTTTTGGAAATAAATATTTTTAAAATACACTTAGCTTATAATGATCACGTGCTGTGTTTTAGTTTTAATAGCCTGTTCAACGAACGACGACGTCTTAACGACTAAAGCTTCGTCTGTAATACTGAATACGACTGTGTTGTTCAATGTTTGAGGCCGAAACGTGAAAACGGTTAAATACTATCCAGCCTCCCGCGCCATTTCACGTCTGACCGTTATAAGACCTAGTTTATTCAAAAGACTTCGATTTTTTTTAAATAAAAAGTTCAAATTTTTGAGTGAATACCCTGTTCATCCAAGGCAACGGTATGTTGCCTCATTGACTGCGTTATTGATGGTCTCGTTGAGATAACATCCGTGCTCGAGTGGCTTGCACACTGGTTTCCATGGTGTCGCCATCTCTGAGGTCCCGGGCTTAACTCCCAGCCGGGTCAATGTAGGAAACTAACTTTTTTATATTGTCTCGGATCTGTGTTTTTGTGGTACCGTCGTTGGTTCCGATTTCCATAACACAAGTGCTTTAGCTACTTACTTTGGGATCAAAGCAACGTATGTTACGTTCTATGGAACATGAGTCCACTTCACACGTATGGACGTGGTACTAATGGTAAACTAATGGTAGTTTGTTTACTTCTTAGCTATTACTAACCACAATTGGCTCTTCCGGATGAGAGAAAAGGGCCTTGTTCTTGCATATTCTTGCTCGAAGACGGCCCAGTATCTTCGTAGCTGATGAGGTCCTGCTAGTTACTAGAAAAAGGACCATTAAAGCTGTAAAACTTAAAAAAAACTAATTCATATTCTACTGATAACACGGACGTTAAGATCTAGCATGTGTTACTAATAGATAAAAAATATAGAAGCGCGGTTTCCGCGACACTGCAGCCCTTCAGTAATTACTAGGCGCCTCGCAAACGTATGTCTTATGTGTTGAATACAAGCAACAGGCAACTAGAAGCGAATATTCTATTTTCATACAAATTACGGTTGCGGCAACCAGGGACAGTTGTCCGACTGCCGCAACTGTTTCCAGTTGCCGCAACCGGCGACTGTGCCGATTTCTTTTGGCTCTTTGGATTTCGATCATGGAATACAGTCCAGACAATGACTAATACTAAGAAACAAAATGACACACCAATAGAATTTTTAAATTATTTTGGTGTAGGCTAAACCTACACCAAAAATTATCTGCAGACTTCATAAATGAATATTATGTTAACGTGGGTAAAAATATTGCAGAGGATATCCGTGGCAAGTCCCTTAGTTTGGCCTCTAAACCTCTGATCCCTAAAAGCTCAACTTTCTCCTTTGCTTTGTTAAATCCTGAAGCGAAGGATATTGAACGGCTTATAATGAACCTAAAATCTAACTGTGCACAGGGTTAGGATGGGATTTCGTCTACTTTGTTGAAAAAACACAAAAACATATTTGTGCCGTTACTGGTTCACATATGTAAAAGGAGTTTTGAGATGGGAGCATGGTAGTTAGCGAATCGCTCACTTTATTGGCCCATATCTGTATAACAAAAAAAACGGAATACTGGAAATATATCCACTAACGAAATATTAATACACGAAACAGATAGTAATTTGGCTTAAACATTTTAATTATGATGAAACTGAAAGTATTCTAATTATACATTCCCAATATTATCAATAAATATTAATTATCACAATAGTTAATATGTTGTTGATCGTTCCATAGTTGATACTTGTAACAATTATACACACACACGCACGCACGCACGCACGCACGCACGCACGCACGCACGCACGCAC